ATATATATCTTTAGCCCAGATAGGCCTTGAACTTGCCGTCTTCTTGCCTCAGCTTCCCAAGCTACCTGGGATCGTAGGTCCGTACCGTCAGACCTGGCAATATAAAGTCTTTGTTTTTCTTTCAGACAATGTCTTGCTGTGCAACTCAGGCTGGCCTGGTACTTCCTGTATAGCCCAGGCTAGCTTCAAACCTGCAACCCTCCTGCCTCAGCTTCCTGAGCGCTGGGATTATATACATACATAACCATGCCTGGGCCGGGGGTATATTATAGCCTCTGCTTTGTGCCCTCAACTCTGTGCTTTGTCCTCTCATGCACTGCATGTGGTTCTTGCACTTGTCACCAGACACTGTGATGCCAAGTTGTGATCACAAGTTTACATATCACCTTCCTTTTCTATGAGCAACTGGACAGAAGAATCACTCAGTTACTTAAAAGAATAAAAAATATGTAATACAGTGTCTTTTACTTGTTAAATGAGTTCATAGATAAAACTTTACTGAGAGCCGTGTGTTAAATAGCTTTGAATTCATAAGAAAAGGTGTTACTGGGAAAAACCCTCCTAACTGTTCTATATCTATTTTCCCCAAGGACACTTGTAGATCTTCAAGCCACCATGTTTAGTTTGATGTGCATAGTCCCACTGGGCATTGCAGCCATCCAGATTCTGACTTGGAGCTCCTTCTTCATCAGCAACAGGATAGACTACACAGCACCTGTGCTACGGAACTCACCACTGCTCCAGGTGCTGTCAGTTCTTACAGTTTATGCTGTGCTCAAAGGCAGAACTGATCTTCACGCCTTTTCATTTTTTTTAAACATCAAAACAAATAAAACAAAAAATTACAGTGGATTTTAAGGGCCTTTTGATTCCCTAAATGTAAGTTAAAGCCTCTCTGTTGGTTGTTTCTGAATGGACTTAACAACTTGGGTGCACCCGGAATTCTTCACCACTGCGTTGCCTTGTGTTTCCCAGAGTTTGTTTTTTGGTTTAGTACTGGGAATGGAGCCCAGGGCCTCTTGCATGCCAGGAAAATGTCCTACCACTGAGATGAACTTTAAAAATGTTTTAATTTTCAGTGAGGGTCTCATTAAGCTGCCCAGGCTGGCCTTCAATTCACACTGTGACCCTGGTAGGCCTTGAACTAGCAATTATCCTGCCTCAGCTTCCTGAGTAGCTGGGTTGCAAGCTTGTGCCATCAAGCACGGGCCTCCTCCATGCCTTGTTTTCACTGACACTGTATCACCACTGTCTGCATATTCTTCTGTGATGAAAAGTGGAGGTCACAACACTCCCTGATTTTGGAATATATTATAAAGCTATTACAATCAAAACAGTGCAGTGCTGGTATAAAAGAAGACACATCCACCACTAGATTGAAAGCCCAGAAATAACCCCCTCCCCCCACATTTACAGTGAACTGATTTTCAACAAAGGTTCTAAAACCATTCAGTGGGGAAAAGGACAATGTCTTCAATAAATGATGTTGAGAAAGGTGGCTATCCACATTGCAGAAGACCCTCTTCTCAACCCATATATAGGCATCAAGTAAAAATGGATTAAAGACTTAAATGTAAGGCTCAGAACTATCAAAACACTGAAACAGAAGGGGAAAAGAAATAGAATTACATCACACTGATAAGTTTCCACACATTCAAAGAAACAACAGAGTGAGGAGACAACCCATACACTGGGAGAAAATATTTGCAAACCATGTACCTGAGAAAGGACTAATATCTAAAAGATGCAACAAATTTAGATATCCTCAAGATAAGAAAATAATCTGATTTTAAAACAAAGAACCTGAATAATGATTTCTCAAAAGAAGACATGGAGGAGACAGCAGGTACGTGAGTAAATGCTCATCATCTCTGATCACCATGAAAACCTGTTACCATTCGGAGGCTGAGAGTCTAGAAGAGATGGGAGAGAAGGGGACAGGGGAGGTGTTGGCTGAAGGCTTGACATTTCAGTTAGGTGGAATAAGTTTAGTGATCTATGACGTAGCACTGTGACCTTAGTTAATGATATGTATGTCAAAATTGCTAAAAGAATGATTTTTAAATATTCTTATCAGAAAAGTGATGAGGTAAAGTGATGAATATGTCCATTAGCTTAATTTAACATTTTTACCATAAGTACATGCATCAAAACATCACACTCTACTCTGTAAACACAGATAATTATTAGAAAGAAATTAATTTTTAAATGATGCAGAAGGTCAGATGTGGAAAATCCAGGGAACACTGTGAGAGAATTCAAGTAACCTAGATTTATGTGGCTTACTCTCCTAATCCAGGTGCTTTTGTTTGTTAAGAAGTAGAAATTTGAGGGCTGGAAGTGTAGCTCAGTGGTAGAGTACATGCTTAGCGTGTATAAGGTCTTGGGTTCTATCTATCTTCAGTACTGCAAAACTTAAAAAGAAAAATATAAATTCAACTTCAATGAGTTTAAATGATGTCTTGGAAGGATTCAATAAGAAAGCAAATGCATAGGCATCCAGGAAAGGCAAATTAGAACGGAGCTACCCAAGGCTGGCAGGGGGAAGGCAGGCAGTGAGGTAACTGTCTCTGACATCTCTACTTCATTGTTTCTGGTCTGTCTGTCTTTGTGCTGGGCATGCACTCACGTGCACATACACTCAGCACCACGCCTCTCAGTTCATTCACACACCTTGGTCTCCCTGCCTCATTTACACGATATCCTAGAAAAGGCAAATCTGTTAGTGCAGCAAACACGGGAGTGACTGCCATGGCCGGGAGCTGGGAGAAGTGTCAATTACAGGGGGCACAGGGATTTTTTAGGTTATGGTGCTATTTTGCATTTTAATTTTGGTGGTGCTCACACAGTTGTATGCATTTGTCAAAACTCAAAAATTATACACTAAAGAGTTCAAGTTACCTTTAAAAATGTAAAGCTGATGACAGTAATTGTTCTCATTTTATTTTTAGAAGGTTGTCTTGTAGTCATTGCACAAATGCTATCTGGAGATGTCATTTTCTTCTCTTGGATTATCACATCAGACTGTGTAAAAACGATTCCATGACTTTCACATTCTTTTTATTAAAGCACATTATTGCTTCTTCTGAAGACCCTCTGTCTTCTCTTTTTTATATTTATGGTTTTTTTTTTGGTCTTTTTGAGACAGGGTCTCCTTGTAGCCTCAGCTGTCCTGGAACTCACTATGTAGACCAGGCTGGCCTTGAACTCACAGAGATTCACCTGCCTCTGCCTCCCAAGTGCTGGGATTAAAGGCGTGAGCCACGATGCCTGGCTCTGTTTGTTTTTTTGAGTCAGGGTCTCACTTTATAGCACTGACAGGAGGAGTGCTCTGCCACTCCCAGCTCTGTCTTCTCTTTTGTGAGATGTGTTGAAAACTCTTTTTACAAAATTCTGAAGCAGTATGGCTGCGAGACTTCTGAAAACTGCATTTAACCCACACCATGGTGATGCCAGTATGTGGAGGACAGTCAGGATGCACTAGGAGGCAGTAGAGCACTGTGGTGATGGCCATGTGTCCTACACTCAGTCCAAAGTCCTGCCTCACCCACTTGTGCAGTGGAAAGTTTTGGTGCTTTGGATGATTCTGCAGCAAAAAGGTGAGAATAAGAGAATCAGCCTCATCAGATTTATGAGGATAAGAAGAGATGATATATGTAAGCCACTCAGCACAGTGTCTGGCAGCAAGTACACGCCATCAGTGCTCTGACAGGTAGTACCCACGCAGTGATGTGGGAAGGGACTCTTTCTGGATGAGTAGGTGTGACTCAGATCTAGAATTCCATGGGGTAGAAATAATGTCTCTTTCCATGCTCATGTCTTGAGCTGCTTCATTTCCTAATGCTTCATAGTGGATTGGGCAAGCTTCACACTATGAAGCAGCAGGTGGAATGTGTGTATGTGTGTGTGTGTGTGTGTGTGTGTGTGTGTGTGTGTGTGTGATTAAATGCATGAGTCAGAAAGGCAAAGGTTTTGATTTTAGAACCTAAGAAGCTTGAAAATTTGGACAGGGATACAATTTTGCTTCTTTTCTTTTGAGACAGGGTCTCCCTGTAGCCCCAGCTGGCCTGGAACTCACTATATAGACCAGGCTGGCCTTGAACTCACAAAGATTCACCTGCCCCTGCCTCCCAAGTGCTGGGATTAAAGGTGTGTGCTACCGTGCCTGGCTACAATTTTCAAAATGTCATTTCTACTTACAAACTTTGTCACAGTTAAGTTCTATTTGTAGTCAATGATTTCCTGTTCTTTGAGTGTTATGGAACTCTGAATTAGTGAGATTTATTTTCAAGGTGGTGGGAAAATGCTTTGCCACTTCTCTTGTACATGGTGTAAGTACAGATATATTTATATTAGAATTTGAGGAAATAGTCACAGAATTTGTGATCCATTAATGAAAATAAGCAAGTGAAAGTCCATGGCTTTGTGCATGAATGGTTTTATTAATGACCAATTTTTGTGTATGTGTGCGGTGACCAGAGGCCAATGTTGGGATCTTCCTCTGCTGCTCTCCATTAAATTAATTCTTCTTCTTATTGTTGTTGTTATTATTGACAGGATCTCTCACTTAACCTGGAACTCCATGATTCATATAGGCTTCTTGGACAGTAAGCCCCAGGGATCTTTCTATCTTTCCCTCTCCAGCACAAGGATTACAGGTATGTGCTGCTGTACCCTAGTTCTGGAGCTCAAACTCATGCCCTCATGTTTGCATGGCAAGTAGTTTATAGACTGAGTCATCTATCCAGCCCCTAGTTACTATTTTTACAGATAAAATTGTTAGGGTTATGGATTTTCCAAGGGCACCTGGAAAGTACAAGGGAAGTAACTAGAATTTGGGACATTTGTGAATGTTCACTTATTTTTGATGATAAAGACAGGGTTGGATAAGTTTGCATGGAGTGTGGAAGTTGGCAGATGAATGAATAAATAAAATATGATATATATGTATTATATTCAGCCTTAGGAAATTCTGACATATGCTATACTATAGATGAATTATAAGTACATTATGCTGAGTGAAATGTGAGTCATAAAAGAATAAATATGATACCACTTATATGAGATACCTGAAGCAGTCAGATTCCTAGTGACAGAGAGAATGGCAGCAATCAACATCTGATGGGAGGGAAGATGGCGAGCACTGTTCCATGGGTATAGAGTTTTAGTTGGGAGGATGAAAGAGCTGTAGAGATGGATGGCAGTGTGCGTTACACATCCAAATTTTTTTGGTTTTGATTTGTTTTGATTTTGAAGACAGGATCCCCGGAAACCCCAGCAGGCCTGGAACTCACTATGTAGAATAAGCTAGTCTTGATCTCACAAAGATCTGCTTGCTTCTGCCTCTGGAGTGCTGGGATGAAAGGCATGCATCACAATGCCTGGCCCAAATTTTCTTTTCTTTCCTTTTCTTTTCTTCTGTCTCTGTCTCTGTCTCTGTCTCTCTGTCTGTCTCTGTCTCTGTCTCTCTCTCTCTCTCTGTCTCTCTCTCGCTCTCTCTCTCTCTCTCTCTCTGTCTCTCTCTCTCTCTCGCTCTCTCTCTCTCTCTCTCTCTCTCTGTACATGTGAGCACATACCACAGTGCACACGTGGAGGTCAGAGGACAGCTTGCAGGAGTTGCTTCTCTCCTTTCACCATATGGATCCCAGGGATCAACTCAAGATAGTCAGACTTGGTGGCAAGTGCCTTTACCCACTGAGCCATCTTGCTGGTCCACAAATGTTATTACTGTCATAGAAATGTAT